CACGAGAGCATATTCAAGCTATTCCAATGCTAATATATAATGGTTTTTCATCAACAATGTGTTCAGTCTCAGCCAATAGACCATTCTGCAGCTCTAGTGCGACACGCAAATAAAAGCACCAGTATATATATATATATATATATATATACTGGTGCTTTTATTTGCGTGTCGCACTAGAGCTGCAGAATGGTCTATTGGCTGAGACTGAACACATTGTTGATGAAAAACCATTATATATTAGCATTGGAATAGCTTGAATATGCTCTCGTGAACCACCCATAGATCTATTATTTTAGACCTCCCCTTCGCTCCCGTCCAATCAAAACTCTTTCTCACTAAGGGAGGTGTTTCCGCACTCGTCTGAATGATTGATCTTTCATTCATTTCTTTTTTATTATTATTATAAATGAGAATTTTTTTTTAATGCATTATATTTTTTTTACCTTATTTTTCAAGGGGGAAAAAAAAACTTTCTTGGGAACTAAATGAACTGTTTTAGATTTTCGAAAATTCGATCTCTTTTAATGCTATATAACGCGCATTAAAATTTATTTATATTATTTCTTTTGATATTAATGAATAAATCTGTAATCGATTGTGCTTCGAGCGAATTCCCAGAAAGCTGGAAATGATTTTATTTCAAGAAGGACATCCATAAATAATTGACGGCAACTTCGAAGAGCGAAAGAAAAGTTTACTTCATAGCATCAAAAAGGGTTGAAAATTTCATATACAATAAAATAGAGATCACCGAATTGAATAATATTCTAAAATATTAATTTTGTTTTGGTCAGAATCAGCGATTGAAAATGAGGGAAAAAAAGTTTTAAGCTTACTTTTAAATGCCATCCCAAATGAGAAACACAAATGGTGAAAAAAAAAAAAAAAGCCTGCAAATAAGCGTATAGGGCCGGGGTAGCCTGGTTGGTAGAGCATTGAGCCCATGTCCAAGAGATCGTGGGTTCGATCCCTGCCTGCCGAAGATAACTGTAGTAAATGGGGACTGATGCACGTAAAATCTGCCGAATCACAAAGTTCTCCATATTGCTGTAACAAATTGTACCTTTGGTGGAACTGATCCAAGAGTTTCCTTGTCTTCTGGATGGGTTCAAAATGACAAGGCTACGGACTTGAACCTTAGCAGTCTAAAACCCAAAATTGGGTCAGCTGTTCAACGACGGATATAAAAAAAAAAAATAATAAGTGAATAATTTTAATATTTTGTTCATTCTTATGTAAAGATAGCATGCAAATAACCAAATATCATTTTTGTGGGTGGGGCCTTCATTCTAAAAATAAACTGCAACTTTGCATTCTTTCATTCGAATTGCATTCATGGTTCGGTAATGGGACCTGAGAGACTAATGTGTAACTTGGAGCCCAACCCAAACAACTGGCCCACATCTAGAAAGATGAAAGCTTTTTATGAAATTCAGTTCTATTTAAACTTGTTTTACAAAATTTTGAGGGAAATTTTTTTTATAGCAATTGTTGAACAACCGACCCAATTTTGGGTTTACGACTGTCAACTCCAGAACCTTGTAATTTTGAACCAATCAAGAAGACAAGGAACCTCCTGGATCAGTACCCCCAGAGGTATTATTTGTTATGGGAACATGGAGGACTTAGTGACTCAACAGATTTAACGTGCATGAGTCACCATTTACTAGACGTGGAGTCTTCGGCCAGCGGGGATCAAACCCACGACCTTTTGGGCACACCAACCAAGCTATCTCGGCCCAGAAAAACAAATTGTAATTACTAGTAACCCACAATTACAAGCGTGTAATGACTATTGATTGTAATCACGATTACTTGTAGTATTGTAGGTCGCGTATTTAATTAATAGTTGTTAATTGCTTATAATCGGAGTTCATGATGACTCATCTTTATAAATTATTTACACATATAAACATAAACAACTCTAGAACACTGATTGCTAGCCGGAATTATGATTAACTAAATTGAACTATGATTACTAGCAATCTCAATTGAAAGCAATTGATTATCTGTAGTCGTAGATAAGGGTTATTGTAATCGTCATTACAATTACAATCGGAAATGTTGACTACTTGAGATCACGATAGAAAATAATTCATAACTTTGTGGTTGTAGACAAAGATTATTTGTAATCTTGAATTACGAATGCTTATAATACAATTGTTATCCTAAGTTATATTTACAATGATAAGCAATTGGTTGCTTGGTGATCTAAATAATTGTTACAATTACTATTGTAATCGTAATTTTGAAATGTTTGTAAACACATACAGTTAAAGAAAATTGTGTACAAATTATTGAATGATACAAGCATTAACTCAATGAAGCATCGTTAAGTAAAACTAACTGTTTATTCAGTATAGTATGAAAGAAACAAAATAGAATGATGAACATATAAAAGAAACATAGAACGGATCTCATGCTTAGAGTAGTAGTACTAACTTGCTTGTCAGATTACATACATATATAATTTCCAACCTTTTTTTTCTAATTAACATAAATTAGCGTAATTATGATAAGAAGTAATCACAATTCAGCTGCTTACTTGCATAATTATCTGAACCAATCTGAAACACCATCTTCATAAATCGAAATTTGCCCCCGCAGACTAAGATCATAAAAATTAGAACTTACGGCAAATAGTTGACAAAAATTAAATACTGTGCGTTTAAATTTAATTTGAAACTTAAAAGAAAAGATGGTATAAAACTGTAGTTCTAAAACACCGAAATGATAAAATAAAAAAAATAAAAAATAAAAAAACCGGATATCTTGTAATAGTAGATCAGAATTACACGAACCATTGAAAACAAAGAGTTTATTTGAACTCCTGAACCATCTAGCGACAATTTTAATTTGTTAAAAAATCTTCACCAGCTTATATGGGATTTCTTCTCACGCTTATTATGAATTAATCATTAGATGATTATTTTTCCTTCTTTATGAATGACTCTAATTTAATCATGAAAAAAAAAAACGCTACTCTTCGTTTTATCTTTAAACTAATTTAAAACCACGTGTTTATAGTTAAAACGTGTTTCTATAAGACTGTATGATGAATGGTACAGTGCCGTAGTGAGCTTAACTCGCGCCCGGGGCACAATACCTTTTTAGCGCCCCCCCTACTCGAAAACCATATAATATTATACGTAAAATATACTCGCAAATCAATAAATATGTATATAATCATCTAGAATTAGTTCAAAAGATACCTATTATTTATTTTATATATTTATAAAGAAATANTTTGCCCCCGCGGACTAAGATCATAAAAATTAGAACTTACGGCAAATAGTTGACAAAAATTAAATGCTGTGCGTTTAAATTTAATTTGAAACTTAAAAGAAAAGATGGAATAAAACTGTAGTTCTAAAAAACCGAAATGAAAAGAAGAAAAAAAAACGGATATCTTGTAATAGTAGATCAGAATTACACGAACCATTGAAAACAAAGAGTTTATTTGAACTCCTGAACAATCTAGCGACAATTTTAATTTGTTAAAAAATCTTCACCAGCTTATATGGGATTTCTTCTCACGCTTATTATGAATTAATCATTGGATGATTATTTTTCCTTCTTTATGAATGACTCTAATTTAATCATTAAAAAAAAAAAGAGCTTGCTATTCTTCGTTTTATCTTTAATCTAATTTAAAACCACGCGTTTATGGTTAAAACGTGTTTCTATAAGACTATATAATGAATGGTAATTGACATGAAATAAAACTTGCGGCAATAAAGAACAAAATTAAAGAGAAGGTTTGAAACAAGGCATTTAAAATCTTTTTCTACACCCCGAAAGTGATAAGTACCGAAGAAAATTACTTGATTGTGCTTTGATAAATCGAATAACGTAAAATTACTGAAGACTGGCAACACATATAATAAAAACAAATTTGGAAATTAATTGTGCCAGCTCATTCCTCTCAGTTTGGTGCGTGGTTTCATAGTGTTAACTAATACCGTGTGTGTTATTGATTATTTTTCTTTTTTTACCCCGTACGAAGAACGCAGCTAGTCGGAAATAATGATTTCTTATAAACACATACAATCACTTCATGATATACTCCGTTGCAAGTTAAGAAAAAGACCATTGCGATTTAAGTAATCATCCGCGACTGTATATAGTTCCGCTTTATAATTATATGAATATGCTTTCAAAGCAACATAAATGTTATTAAAACTCGTCCGAAAGATTCGTGAGATCTTTCGCCATATCATAGAATTATTAAACAAGCGTTGTAGCTTCGTAGTCTCAACTGGAATAGTAGATTTCGATTAATAAGGAATAAAACGCTCTTTTCTTGATGATGTTGCAAAGAGCGTGGAATCCAGTGGAGCACTAAAAGTGACGCGTCTTATGCTGACATGCCTTGAGAAATCAAGTGGGAAATAAAGATTCTTTTTTACTTTTGTTTTACTATAGAGCACTATTTATTCAGCATCTTTAAATGCAAACAGATAGGCATATATTTGTTACTATTTTTTTATATCATTTTTATTAATTCTTATTAACAAAGCAATAGTTTTTATTCAAAAAGTTTTATTTTCCCCATTTCACACTATTTTAGAAAGTAAGCAGAAAGAAGGTCAACGTCATTTCATGAATTGGCTGGGAGCTTAGCATTCATTTCACCATTAACATTCATTCGTGCACTTAAAAGATGCAAGCACTGCCCAGCATGTTGAAAGTGCTTCACGATTAGTTCCGTGACAACTTTTCTCCTTCTATTGCTATGAACGCTGAATTAAAATTTTAAAAAAACTGATAAAACAAGGTTTATTTTTTCGCTATCTGTAGTTTACCCTACAAAGTTGCCAAATACATTAAAAAAAAAATGTCAATCTTGAATTTTTGGTCACTTACGTTGAATTCCACGGCAGAAAAGGCTTTCTCCATGAAGATAATGTTTTTATTTATTTAACTTACAACAGATTAAGAATCAAGCAAGCAATAGATACCCAAAAATAAATATTAAAAAAAAAAATTGTTTTTTTCAGGTGAACGACCCTTTTCTTGTGATCATCCAGGATGCGGGAAGACGTTCACGAGGAATGAAGAGCTGACACGTCACAAGAGAATTCACACAGGTGTCCGTCCCCATTCGTGTGTTCTGTGCGGCAAACGTTTTGGCAGAAAAGATCACCTCAAGAAACACGTGAAAACGCATCAGAGAATGCATTATTTATTAGATTATGCTCCTTATTACCTTTATTGAATTAAAAATATAGTGTGAATGTGTGTGTACATATCAGCGTTGCAAATATAATTACTATTTTGATATATATATATATATATACATATGTGTGTGTGAAAATAGAGAAATGTATTCTTTTATACAGATTCGGAAAAATAAAATAGAGATATAGTTTGTTTACGGTAAGAATTCTCCCCTCCACAAAGTTTAAGGCCGTCTGCTGCTATGGAAACAAGAATAGAGCATTTCAGGGAGGGTAGCTTCTCTTCATTCTAGGGCTAACACAGTACACCGAAGAAAAAGATTCATTTTCTCTTTGCCTACACGAGCTAAAACTTGTTTCATGCCGTACTTGAAATAGTTATACCTCGTTACCATAGTCCCCGCCACGGATCCAGACGAATGGCTAGGATAGTTCTTACTTTAGACAAACTATACATATGTTGATGGACGCCAAAACACGTGCTTGTTATGTCTTTTTCCGAATGTTTAATATAGTGTAGATTTTTCAGGGAAAATATTCTCCAATAAAATGCTCAGTTGATTTTAAAAGCCAATTTTTTTTTAATTAATTTATTTATTTTTTAAAAAAATTCGAAATACAAAGCATTTTATACTGTAAAAAATATTGTTTACATCACTATCTTGGAATGTATAAGAATGAATGAGTAAAACAAAGCTCGATGTACTGTTTCTTTGGATCTAAACTCATTTTTAACCAATTGTATCATCATTATTGATTATGTATAGAAATTAAGGACATCAATTCATTACCATTTAGTATTTTGTAAGGACACTAGACATTTCAGATTTGGTAAGGCTATTTCTGATACTACATGATATGCATTTTTATTAAAGACGAAAATAGTATGAATCAATAAGGACTAAAATTATTATACAATTATTAGCATTTTTTTATTTTCTGGAATAAAATCTAGCACACAACATCAATAATAAAGAGTAAAGAAATTATAAAGATTGATTATAATTATCAAAAATTGCAAATTTTTGCATGATTTTTCGAAAATATTATTTAATAAATAGAATATTTCCCTAATATATTTCTCTAATAGTTCGCGTTTGTTAAGAACATATCAATATTCTTATTTCGCTTGAAGAAAACTTACACAAATTAAAGTCCTCAACACAGAGGAAAATTTCTTGAAGTACAATATTCTAGCTTCATAAAAAAATTCTAACATAAAATTAAATAAATTATAGAGATTTATTTTGTTTCAGATTCACATTAAAGGTTTTTTATCACTAAATATTTAATTAAATCATTATTTTGTTTAAACTGTTTATTGATTTAATGATATGCCCTTTTACATTTAATCAAATCAGATATATATTTTTAGAGGGAAGATCATATTTTAAAACAGGAATCAGGTTCAATATAATTCATATGCCTTTTTAAAAATCAGATACAAAACTAATTCACTTTAACGCAGCACTATGATCTAAGCATGTATGATGAAGTCAAAACTTTTGATGGTGTTCCATTGATCTTGATGGTAACCATCAATAATTCCATCATGAACTAAAATAATTTTGATGGTAGCCAACATAATACCCCAATGTAGGAATTCGGTCTGATTTATGATGGTCCAGCATAAGAATAGCAACTTGTTTTGATAGTTTGCCTATGTTAAACCATCAGAAATTTCCATCATAGTTTCTCAGAAATAAAATGTTGGAACGATCATGAGCAACCATTTTCCCAATGTAGGAATTTGGACTGATTTATAATGGGTCAACATAGGAAAAAAACCCAAATTGTTTTGATGATATATTCCTGAGAACCAACAAGAATTCTTATTAAACCGTCATGGAAATGTATAATTGAAATCATCATGGACCATTACGTATAATCATGGTTCCATGAGAATAAAACTTTTCTTGATGGTTATCCATCATAGTATTAAAGAAGCATTTTCCATCATGGAATGATGGAAGTTTGCTGACATATCTAAAACTATGAATGCATAATGGAAAATATTGAATGATGGCGACCTTCAAAATGATGTTGGACTATCATGAATCGCACTGAAACCAACATAAACCATCAAGACTTGGGATGAGATCTTTTCTTCATAATGGGAGCTGATTAAAAAGAGCCCTTCGAAATACATGATGTTTAAAAACCTGATGACAACTGTGTTTGATAAGCAAATAAATTTTGTCACGTTTTTTGAAATGCTTATATATTAACAATTATTTATACGCATTTAAAACTGTATTTTTAAATGTATATTTTTTTTTTGCCATGTAAATACATTATATATTGTCAATATACTTATACACCCATTACTTATTTATAAGAAATAAAATTTTCAATTATATTACTGTGGATTATTTCTGTTATTGACATTAAAAAAATAAAAACTATTTTTCCGTAATCCCTTAACTTACGTTTCAAAATAAATAAATAAGAAACTAAAGTGAAATCACTAGTAAGGCGTCAAAAAGGTGTTTTTAAGAATCGACTACTTTCTACAAGTGGATAGATTTTGTCATTACATTAATTTGTTGTTAATAGGATTCCACTTACGATCTGAACCATGAGAAAGACTTTGAGTATTCAAAATAATACGGGTTTTTTTTCTCACAAATTTCATTTTGTAGTATTAAACAAGACATATTAAAAATGACACCGACATTGTGAGGGATCATCTCACATAAAATAATGTTTTCTTTCCTTAATATCATCGTAGTTTGGTGTCCGGACGATTATTGTAAGGTAAGAACATTTGTTACAAAATTTTGTCTTATGATACAAAATGAAATTTGTGGAAAAGCCCTTATCATTTTGAGTCCATAAAGAAGTACAAAAAATTACTTAGCAAATTGCTTGAAACTTTTTAAATTTTAAATACGCTCAAACCTTTTTTTCATTAGTTGCAAAATACGATTCACCCCACAATAACAAAAAGAAAAAAAATTTATCAATTTTTCTCCGTGCATGCGCACTATGAAAGAACTACTTTAAATAGTTATATCATGCACAGGTCAGGTTTTAACGTTTTTTTTCTTCTAATTTTAAAGCAATAATTTTGTAATTAATTTTTAATTGTTCCAAAAATTTTGTATAATTTTTATTAAGAATTAATAAAATTTTGTAAAACGTAAGACAAAAAAAGTATTTTTTTATTAAAATGTCCATATTTTCCTAAATATTTAAGTTAGATTAATGAAATTTTATGCAGTTATTGCAAGTTACAACCAAATGAATCACCATAAGTGACAAGCTTATTTCTTGATTTTCTGGTCCCTGAAGCCTCTTAAAACTTTCTCGCTCAGTATAAAGACATCGCATTGAACTAAACAACGCAATCCTTTCATTGTTTCTTGGGAAATTTGAAAAATTGTCAAAAACAGAGAGTAGTGTACATATATACATGTACATACATCGTTACACAACTTCTTTCGAGTCAGAATTAAAATTAACGTTGATAAAAAGGTAAAGAAATTAACACTGCAAGGAAGAAAAAAAATAACGTCAAAGATATACTTAACGTTATTTTTTCAGGCATCGTTAAGAAAATAAAAAATATTAAAGATCAACAAAGAACTGGAAGACATTTTTACTGCAGGACATTGAAAAAGGGATAAAATAAATGTCTACGAAAGAATTTAAAGTTCTCTTTTGAAGCACTTCCATTGTTACAATTATTTAATTACAATTATGATTGCTTAAAATTAAAAAGAGAGGAAAAAAAACACGTTTTTCAGTAATGAAAAAAAATTGGAGCATTTCGCTTACAAAATACTTTCGCAACAATAAATAAAAAATACAGTTTTAAATCAATCTGTTCTTAATGATATTTAATATTTTCATAAATATGTCGAGCTAATCTTTATATCGTTTCATAAAATGAAAAAGTACACATTTAAATACTTAATTGTTGAAAAAATATTCCCAAGGTAGTTATAAATAATTATCCCGTCCCTCTATCTAGCTACCCTTTATGAGCATCTTGGTAGTGGCAGGAATAATGGACTGCAATTAACTCCAAGGGGAAGTGTTGGCTCAGAGGATAGAGCGTTCGTCTCCCAATGAGCTGAAGCGGGTTCGAATTCCGCACCCGGCTTGCACCGAACACAGTGCTGACGTAAAATATCCTCAGTGGTAGACGGATCAGTGAGTTCCCTTGCTATCAGGCTAACCGTGGGACGTTCTCGTGGTTTTCACCTCCATGTAACAAAAATGGGGGTGAGTTCCATCAAAATGTCCTCCATGAAAGCAAATTTCTGATTTGCAAATTGAAATTATCCCTGTAATGCATATAACACTAATGCACACTTTTTACACTTTTGTCAAGAATGAATTCAATAAACCGGTGTTCCTGACTAAAAATATGTATAAGTTTTAATATATGCTTTAAGGATAGGTATGACGAAAGCATTTGCACAGTTCCTCGAAAATTAAGAACATATAAAATTATATATATATNTGTGATTTTTCCTTAATTTATGATAACCAGTGTATATATATATATATATATATATATATATATGGGGAAAATTACAGAACAACGAAAAAAGGGTAAAAAAAAAAAGAAAATAATAAAAATAACAAGAAACCGGAAGAAAAAAAGATTCCAAAAAAAGGAAATTTTTTTAAAAAATCCGGAAAATAAAAGATATAATCTTTTTATCAGCCCACACGATTATATCTGCGAAAAATAGTGCTCTCTAATATTGTATCAATATAGCCGAAGCAAAATATATCAATACGCAAAATATATCAATCAAAATATATCACTCAAAAAATTTTACAAAAAAATTACAAGAAATAAAATAGAACACAATAAGTAAAAATATCACGTAAAACATAAAATAAAATATAAAGAAAAAACAGAATAAAACATAAAACATAATCTATAAAGCGAGTAGCGAATTCGTAACAGGATTACCAGGTTATAAAATATGAAAACAGAAGTGCAAATTGGGGAAAAAGCGTAAATAGAGGTGCTTTGTTTTATAGCGCGTTCTTACAGCAGTACTGAAGTGCGTTTGATTTGTTAGTTACCAAGGATGGGCATGAAAATGGATGTGCGCAAGGTAATACTATACTGGATAGTTTAAAGAATCTGACAATTAGTAATTTTAAAAAATTAACTTTTATTTATGAAAAAAATAAAAGAAAAGAAAAAGAAACATGAATTGCACATGGTAAAAATTATATAAATTAAGAAAGTTTTTTGGTAAATTTATTTACAATAATATACAGTGAATTAATATAGAATTTAATTACTTCAGTAGGGTATTCATTGTTTTTTATCAAATTTTTAAAGAGTTTGTCAATTTCCTTTTTGGATAAATAAACATTACTACATATTCTTCAAATTCTATCTATTTGATTAAAAATGGTATTTAAATAGATGTTATTAGTAACATTAGAATTTCTAGAAAAAAAGATCCTGGAAATCAAAAGTCGCAATAGAATTAATTTTATTATGTTTAATAAATTCGAAAATCTGTTGATTATTAGTGACAATGAAAAAAAAACCTTCCTTAACAATATTGTTAATAATTTTATTTAAATAGTAAAAGAAAATGGTGCCAGATTTAGATAGGTAAGTATTAGACCCACATGTGATTGTTCTAATGTTTTATAGGAATTTTGTGAAATTTAGGACTGGTAATTAAGTGATTTGTGCCTTTTATCATTAAATTCCTAAGTTCAAAGTTTTCTATTATATTTAAATTACCAGTAATAATACGTTTATGATGTTTATCAACAAAATTAAAATATTTCTCTTCCTCACAGTGACATTCATAATCGGGTATATTAATCCTCCCTAAATTTGTGTTTATATCATTATACTTAAATATAGTTCCACCAAGAGATTTGTTATATTTAAAGCTTTTAATTATGTTAAAATATTTTAATGGAAACTCACTTAACATTCGAATTAATCAACACCGCTCTGATATAAACAGTAATAAAACTATCAATAACCTGGAATTGAATCATTTTAGAGAACATAAATTTAACAGTGTCAAAATTAATATTTTAGATATTGTGGAAGATTTAAGACTACAAAAAGAAAATTACTGCTTGCTTTTATACAAAACAATTTTGCCGTATGGGCTAAACGATACCTTCCAACATACACAGATTAACTTTCATATTAAAGATAAGCGTACAAATCGAGGTAAACGGGGATCAAGAAGTAATAGAAACTCTCTTAATAGTGACAAATAAATTTTACTTCTAATATGGAAAAAGATTTTAATAAACATTATAATATTGAACCAATTAAAGATTTTGTTTTCTCCCTTAAGAATTATGATGTATATAAGCTTCACAATCTTATTATTAACTTCTCCTTTATTAATTTACATTTCAAAATTCTTTGTTTCGATCTTGTAAAAGCCAAAATTAGTAAAATTTCGCCAAATAAAAAGAAAAATTTAGATAATTTATATTTCGTTATGAACTTTCAAAATCCTATTTTCGATAAGATCATATTTCCTAATATTTTTGAAAATTTTAAAACTTTATTTCCATTAAAAGATTTTTACATAATTAAAAGTTTTAAATATAATAAAT